ACTGAAACCTTATATTTTAAGTAATTAAGATACTATGCAGCTAAACGTCAACTAAATAATGAAAATGTGACTTCAAGAATAAAAGCACTGGTTGCTTGTTCATCCGATCTCTCCCCTTTTACATTTCTGATGCCCACAACACCAATAAGGGGCCCTTCAGCCTTGAGGTCTTGGACTGTGGGCCCCTCTACTTTCTAGAGCAGACCTCCGATCTGTCTCGATTCTTCTTAGACATCTGAATCCTCTCTCGCATACAGAGATGTCCTTATAGTTTTTTTTCTTAAATGAGACAGAGAAAATGTTAAGTGGCCGCCAAAGACCAAGAATTGGTTCCAAATGACAACCCGACAACCCTGACTATGGAGCCCTGCAGTGTTGGTGGTATTCAGGAGATATCCCGGGAACGATTGGAGTAAAAGTTCCTCAAACTTGGCACAAATTATTAGATTTCGACGGTCTAAATGTCAGGTTACTGTGACCTCACGTCCATATCTGAGGAACACTTTGAGGGAATCTCGTCATATTTGGCATGAACGTCCACCTGAGTGTTGAGAGGAATTTGCTGAGCCCCAAGGTGTGTCCTAACAGATGTTGCTGGGGCTTTTTCCCGTCCTTTCTGGCCTCCTTCTCTTTATTGGCACCGGGGCCGTGGAGCCGATTGTTTGGCTGTTGCCCTGGATACGTGTCTTGTTTTCCGCATGGCGGCATGTCAAGGCAGGCAGAAAATGATCACTTCAGTCCAAAGTGCTCCTCACTGCAGCAGAATATACATAGAATAACCTCACCCCTCAGTCCCGGGGAAGAGGCTGGACTGAGTTCAAGTAGGAGCCTTGAGTCATGTTCAGTTAATCTCTCTAAAACACACAAGTCATGTCAAGACGGCCTTTCTGAACTGTAGAGCATCAAACAGGGTATATATATAGTGTATTATTAAAGGGAGTGGATCAAACAAAACCCCGTATATACAGTATACACAATATAATGCAATATACTCGGGTTATTTTTGAGGTCTTAGTTTGTGAGTAATTGAATTATGTATCTACTTGTGACCACTGTTCCTCTTTACTAATGCCTTTTTTGGCCTCTTTGCTAGCGTGGGTTTTAAGAATATTTCTCTTTTCACATTACATCACCTTGCAGCGTTTGCTATAAATTCAACAGGCAGCCGATATCTGGCCTCGTCGTACATCTGTATGTTACTTTCTGTTACCCTGAAAGCTCACTTAAATGAGAACTCTTTACACATCAATATCTGATTACTCGTTATATGGTGTACTACACAGCCTGCGAAAACAATTATATTTATATAATTATATTGTTGCCTGAGGTTCTGGACACTATGAGTTTGGAGACTACAAATCTCTGCCAGAATGTTGCATGATGGGAAGTGTAGGATTGAGCATTTTCAGAGCTTGACCCGAACTCAGGACTTAAGCTGCCTTGCAGAGGCAAAGCAAGGCAGCGCTGCTCATCAAAGTGTGGCTACGTCACATACAGCTGTTATCGCATTGGTTGAGCTTGGAAAAATCAGCGGGAACGAAAGTCAAAGTTGAAATTAATTGCGCTCAGAGGGAATTTCAAACCGCTCTTCTCTCAGGAAAACAATGGCACAGCCAGACGCTTTAATGCTGATCATGTGTGAGCAGCTTAAAAGTAAGAATGTCTTTGTCTCTGCTGCTTTGACTTTGTGTTTCTTTAAATGTGCCGTCCTCGACCAAAGCATTCCTAGTCGACTAACACTCATACGATTTCATTGGCTGAGCAATTACTTGACTTGAAAGACAGATCTGTCAGACAGTTTCGCCACAAAGAATAACATAAAAGCACCACTTTAAATCTTGTGTTTACCAGAGAAATGCATAAGTATCTTGGAAATAAGCCATCCAGCATGAACAAAGCATAACAAACAACTATTAAAGAAATCGTAGTTGATTAAGAGAAAAACAACCAACGAAGGGGAAGACCGAGTCTTTGTGAGTCTTCCACTTCAAAAAATGGCAATTTGTACAACCACTGGTGAATACAACCAAATGGTATTCCATTTAATGACTAACTGACAACACAGTCACAGTCATATGAAGTCCTCACAACAGTCTTAATATTCCTGATAACATAACTCATCGAGAGTTAAAGTACCTTCTGCACAGCTGCTGCAGTAATTCCACATTTTAATCTGAGGATAAACCGGCCTTTGTTTACTTTTGATGTCAGTTTGCTGCCTTGAATCAAGGTGCAGTAGCCACATTTTTTACCTTACCTTGTGTGAGATTATAAACGTCAGTTATAGTCTTTGAATTCTTATATTATCTGGCCTTCCTCTGGTTTGTCACATCTGAGTCTGTGTCTCAGAAAAGAGGTTTGTTGTCATTGCGCCGAGACAGAACTGAGCAGGCGACTTCCTCTCCCGTGCCAGATGTGACTGCCAACCACTTCGTCTGGATTCAGCTGCAACATTTCTTTTTCTTCTGGAAAAGAGACGACTAACAACCGTTATATGTCTGACTGATTCCTCATGTGTGTCCTCGGGAGCAGCGGGGAAGCTAACGAGGGAGAGACGTGACATCGAGTCGGCCACAATATTTGCAGAGTCCAAAAAAATATCAGTCGGTTTGATGCCTCGATACTTTGCCACGGACAATGTCCGAGATTTAAACAAAGGTAACACAAGTGTTTGGACAGCTAGAAACAGAAGGATGAAATAAAAGGTAAGAAACGGATATAAATGAATGTCAGTCCAGAGGAGCAGATGTAAGAAACAAAGGCAGCCATTGTTTGGTCTGGAGATGCCTCACATGTTTCTAGGCCAGGGGCCCAGACTGAGCAGCTTACCTGTGCTTTGAGGCTCCGCGAGAGAATGGGACAAAAACAGAGCTGTCAGGCAGTGCAAAAATATTATCATTTCCTAACATAACATATCTGCTCTGCAACTGGCAGTAGCCTCAATCATGTGAAAGGGAACAATAATTAGCATTTGCTGGTCGTGGTTCAGACTTCCAGCAGTTAGCCTTGGATGAGCTCGGCTTCGGCCCACCTGCCAAAGGAGACGCTTGAGTCAAGGATGTGCCTTGGCTTGCTTCTGTCGAGCAGTTAAAGGTTTTATAAGGGTGGCTGGACACGAGCAATGCCCGTGAGACTTAATGTCGTGCCACTCGAGGAAAGGAAGTATAAAAGTCTCTCATTACTTCTGCCACTAACAGCAAGTGACAGTCGTGTATTTCACGTATCGCAGGCCGTTTGTGTAGTTTATTGCACACAACAGGCAGTAAGATCACATGGCCGACATCCAAAGGGTTGTGCTCTGCTTTACATGGATATTCACCGAGTGCAGAGGGTTGGACTCAAATCGCACAACTCGGTCTTTTGTTCAGGTCACATCATGACTTGTTTAAGACTCGAAACATGTTGGACTTGACTTCAATTGGGATTTGTTGGTCTTGTCTTGGGACTTGACTTGGACTTCAATTTGTACTTCCTGGTCTTGACCTTAACTTGACAAGGGACTTGTTGGTCTTGACTTGAGAATTGACGAGGGACTTGTTGATCTTGACTTGTACTTCTTGGTCTTGACTTTAGATTTGGGACTTGTTGGTCTTGATGTTGGTCTTGATTTGGGACTTGTTGGTCTTGACTTGGGAATTGTTTTGGGACTTGTTGGTCTTGACTTTGAACTTGCTGATCATAACTGGGGACTTGACTATCTATACTTGGGACTTTTTGGTCATTAAGTGGGACCTGTTGGTCTCAACTGGAGACTTGATTTGGGACTTGACTGCTGTAATTTTAGACTTACTCTTGAATTGTAGAACAGTAATATTTTCTATGCCTTGTACTTCTACACTTGTACAGATAATACAAATTATTAATAACCACAAAAGTTTGACTTTTTAAAAGCCTCATACAGCAGGGTATATGATTTGAAACATTGAAATTATGTTGTGCAATATACGCAGGTTTTGTTGCAGTTTCCTTCATATGCAAGTATTTTAAAAAAGTAATATACTCCACGCCAGATCTGTATTCATTACCACTGTCGAGTGTTGTGCGTTTTAATCGGTTAAAAAGCTTTAATGAGTCCTACAATCACAATCACTCGTCTCACAACAAGAAACACACTTACGTCTGCTCGACCTCAACAACCCTTCTGGTGCTTTCCAGCAGCCCGGAGGGCCCGAACAATTATTTTATTAAGGCTCCATCAAATTTACTGGAGTAACAAAAGCTTTTATTACACATTCTTCATTCTGACACTCGCACACAGTGTTTTATGTTTCTTTCATAAACCCACATAATTAGCCATGAATGTTACATTCTCAGAGGCAGAACAATTGATGTTTGTTTGTGAAGACCAGTAACATGGAGGGTTTTGATGCAATTCATTTTAATGACGAGTATGCAGGGTTCGACAGTAAAGGTTGCCAGGTTGCCATCGCCAACAATTTTGAGAAATTGGCAACCAATTCTTGACCTTTGATTGCCGTCAGTGGAACCGCATTTTAACATATAAAAAATTATGTACTGCAAACGGCAAAACATGCTCCCAAAAATAAATACTTTGTATTTTTTGTTGCATTTGTGATTTTTAAATATTGCCGTTACCAGACAAAGCTTAAAGAGCATTCTGTTTTAAAGACGGAGGCGAAGCAAATTAAGTTGTTTGACTATTGGGTGAAAAGTGTGACGAAACCGTCAACATCTCAAACTAATGTGCAAATCGATTCAATGGACAAAGAACAAAAAGGAAATCTGTGAAGTCTTGGGAGTCAAAGTATCCATGTGTAAACAAGTCACATTTTCATATATCACACATATAACTGAATCGCATCTCAACTACTCAAAACGTAATTTGACTAAAAATGGCGACCATATTTTCAGTTTTGGCAACCGAAAGCGGATTTCCAAAGCCAAAAGTCTGCTTTAAGGGTTTTGTCTGTTACAGGTTGTAATCCTTTACATATATTGTCGAGTTTAAACTCCTTCAACTGAATTTTCTCCTCTCTCAGTGATGAATTGAGGAAAGAGGCGCGGCAGTTGAAGAAGGATCTTCAGGCCATAAAGCAACGGAAAGAAGAAGGCTTTAAACCCGCAGTAGAAGAAGTCAAGGAGGGTAAGTGAGAGGATTTTACTCGTGGATGTTTCTTACTGTTACTCACACTGTGAACTTATTGGTGGTTGATAATAAACCGAGCATGCATCTCACCACAGCTAGCTGCTTGATGAAGAACTCACACTCTGAGTGAGAGCTCTCTAAATGGGTGGTCCGTGCTACATTCTCTGCTAATGGACACCAAGGAAGGCAACCCTCTGATTTAGTCAATTAGTTGCAGACGTGTCTCCCACCCGACTCAGAGAAAATTGCATGGGTGAAAATGGTTGAGTAGTTGCATATCAAAATTCTTCGTGTGTTTGTTAGTTTGCAGCTTTGGCCGATGGGAGTCTTCACCACACTGCAGTCTGTCATGATGCCGTCAATCTTTGGATTTAGGCTTTTTGCTGATGCTGAAACACATTTTTGAAAATTACAAAAACCGCTTAGGCACAGAGGTTAGCTTGAGGTTGAGTGTATATTGTTGTGCAACAAAAGTAAATAGTCCGTGGGGGGGTCTGCAGGGACCAGTCTGAACTGTGGGATTATCAACTGCCAGAACTTACTGAAGACCACCAGCTTTTGTTGCTCAAACGTTGTTTTTGTCTCCACAAAACACAGACACTGAGCCCACTCTTGACTCGCTGCTGATTGATTAATTTTAGGTGAAAGAGCACAAAACGCACGTCAGGAATGAGTCCTAAAACCCAGAAATGAGTCCGCTTTTTTGCACTTCCGGTTTCCTCGTCTCGTTTAATGTTTTTTTCTTTCGATGCCTTAAATAAGGTCTGTGTTTAACACACACTTTAGAGATGTTAACATTTGGTTCTACGACATAAAATACATTAGTAAATACCCCCACTAGTCAATTTTGAAGCTTTTACGCGTCTTAAAAACAGCGGTTGCTAACAAGTGGCTAACTGAGACTAGAAAACGTCATCGCGCAGACTAGATGTGTATATTCGCGCTCATGCAACCGTGGTGTAGTTTGTTTACAGCTTCAGCTTCTGCCGACTGAATTCATGTTTTAAAAATGGTGTTCATTGGTAAAGGTGATCCTCGTGAACAAAACGTTAAGTATCAACAACGTTTGTTTGCCACAGAGTTTATTTTCTGCAATTATCCAACAATAAAAATCCCATTGGCTTTTTGTCGAGGGAACCAGTGAGAAGCTAACTTCTCGGCCGGCCTACAAAAACACGTCATCGCTGCAGCGCTCTATTGCACTTTGATATGAAGATTAACTAAGATTTGTTGCTCTCAGTGATATCTGCATAGACTCGAGCTGTTTCTATACAGACTCTTGAGCATAAAGAGGCCTTCCTTTAATAGAGCCAGTTATAAACTGGAGCGTCGAGTCAGTAACAGCCCTGCATTGTTATACCAAGTGGCAACTAGCCTAAGCTCCTCCATTATCTCACGAGGTATTCCTACTCTGCCAGGGACCTTTTTGTTTTGTGCTTCTCTGGCAGCTTAGCCAGAGGCAGCAGTTTCTTTTAAGAGTTCCTCATTACGTTTCTGTGTTGGAAGAGAAAGTTAATTCCATTGGATGTCATGGGCCAACGGCCACTGCAGGGGAGACGGATGTCTGCTCGAATGCTGTAAATCTTGAAGCTCCGCTCAGCCACAGAGGAGCAGCGCGGCGAGAGAGGCTGGTTTTTATCTCGTCCCGCTGGAGAAGCCTCACACATTAAAGGCTCGCGTTGAGGCGTCCATCCCCCGAAAGCTTAAATCACTCTGCTGCTTCTGCTCTGACTTCTGTGCGATGGTCTCCAACTGGTCACTGTGGTTTTCAGATGTTTGAGCTGAAAGATTTTAGGGCCGCAACTAACAATTCTGTTTTATTGTTGAATAACGGATCATCATTTGGTCAATAAAATATCTGAAAATAGCTCAGAGACGTAGACGACGTCTCCAAATTGTGTAACTGTTTTATGTGACCAACAGTCAAACAACTAAGAAGCCAGAACAAAAGAATACTTCACGTGTTGGCTTGAAAAAAAAGAATATTTGTATAGATTCTACTAATTTGTTTGATTTTCTTTTGACCAACTAATTAACCAACGAGCTGTTTCAGCTCTACAGGAAATATAACAGCGTGTTATTGTACGTATTATAATAATAAGATCTTCCTCTATACTCCCCAGACACATTTAGTGGAAGAAGTCTAAAAAGTCTTAGAAATAAATAACAATAAAAATGTTGATACTTCCAGTTTTGTGTCACGTGGCACTTGAAACATGCTTATAAAGAGCAGACAGATGTTGCACCACAGAGGTGAACAATCATTGCGTACATTTCTTCTGCAGCACAGCTTCTGTCAGCATTAACAGCTGTTAATGTTTAATAAGTAATGTGTTCAGTTACCTTCTTGTATAATAAACACACAGAAGACATCAAATAAAGAGTTTTCACTCTCATGGTCTAATTTTTCTTCCTGTAATATTCTATAAAAGTGATTTTGTTCGACCACCTCCTCACAGTTCTACAGTCCTCCTCCACCATCCCGCCCATGTGGCTGCTGGCATGTGCACACATGACGTTGATAGCAGTGAAAAGCCAATTGTCTCTTCAGAATTCACCTTTTTTCTTTTTCCCCCTTCAGTTTTCATCACATAAATTTGAGCATGTTCCTGTGGTCTGGTTTTCTCTTTCTTGGCATGACCGCCGGGTACCAGAGCCAACAATAAGAGAGAGCCATTCTGAAACCACTGTCCGCTCAGTGCCCACCCTAAATGAAGTGGCAGCAGTCTTTATCCCACGTCGATGTTGTGCAGGTTGGGCCTGTCTGCCCTCGGGGCTTCATTACACTCGCTGCTGACAGTTGCATATTGAAGGGTGACGTTTAAACCGGTGATCAAGATTAGCGTGTTCTCGTGTTTGTCCACATCTGTAACATCCTCAAGATGGATAGTAGGTGCTGACCTCTCAGCACTGACTGACAGTCATTTGTGATGTGTTTCTGATTGACGGTCAGCAGTGACGCTGCCTCACAGCTCTTTAAAAACCAAAGCGTTGATTGTTTAACAGAGAGGAGGAACCTTTTGTCCCCCAGAGGAGGCGTTTGTCATCCACAACAGCCTTCGGTTGCTACGACATCGGAGGCTTGATTTGTAGTTCTCTGGAGCCCAGGTGACCAGAGAGGGGAGGAATGTAGCTAGGAAGGCCATCAAAACCCAAAGATGGTAGTTGGCGACAACAGCTGGAGAGGCTGATGTGTGTTCCTGGTTTAGGACCTCGGGGCGTCATCAGTCAGGGGGGGCAGAGCAGGAGAGGTGACCGGGGGAAAGTGTGGCTCGTTGATTTCCAGGGAAATTTCAGAGATTGCTGCGTATTCACAGCCCTGAAGCTCAGAGAAACGAGAATAAGTGCAACATAAGTTTATGTTGTTGCATTTCTTCCGTTAATTGGTGTTTATTAGTAGATCTCAGCAAGTTCTATACACACAACATGCGTTTAGCGACTCGCAGTGGACTTCAATGTTTTCTCTGTGACATCATTTATTTGGTGCGTCCAGCACAGAAGGGGCACCGGTTGGCCATCGAGGTGATGCTGTCCCGGGGGGGGGGTGACATCACATTTTGTTGTGGAAAGACGGTGCTCCAGCAGACTGTGCTCACCGTCTGCCGCTCTGTGACTTCACAGCCCGTGTGTCTACGCTGGGAGGTTCACAGACATTATGACTGCATGAGACACCGATGTCTGCATGCTGATCGTCTCTGCGTTCATTCACGACGAGAGACGACTTCACTCGTACTGCAGAGGATGGTTTGGTGGAAAGTTATTCCCGTCAGCGGCGGGACTTTTACTCTCTCTGTCTGCTTTTGTAGCACCGGTCTGCTATAGAGTCCAGGTTTACATTTTAGCTGCACTATGAAAAATAAATGCAGAAAACCATCACTTTAATGAGCTGGAACCAGATAGATAACATTTAGAATTTCATCTTAAAAACTACTTCAATGCTTAATTTATTCTAAAAATAGCTGCAGATTAAAGTTACTATGAGGAACTTCTAACTAGCTCTGAACCAGTCTCAGTGTAGTCCTGATCCTCTATCAGACCTCCATCGGTAAAGAGACCATCAGAGAGAAGATGGTCTGTTTCTATAGAGTTATTCTTAAAGCTTGTCATCGGAGCCACCGGGTCGGATTCTGGTGAAACCAGATGAACTCATGCAGGTTCACCAGAAACTCCTTCAGCTCAGACCCCAGCAGAGGCCGGTCCACCGTGGACAGACCCAGATCCTCCTGCAGAGACCTGGTCCACCGTGGACAGATCCAGAGGGAGGAGGAGAGCTCAGCAGCAGCAGCGTCTCCTCCTCCTCCTCCTGCTCCTCCTCCTCCTCCTCCAGGAGCAGAGCTTCTTCTCTCTGGGAGCCAACACCGACACCACGCTGCTGGAGACCCAAAACGTATTGCTGGACCCGCTGGAGGGAAGGGAGGCACGGGAGAACCAGAACCAGGACTGAGAGGGGCAGACTGTCAGACCCTGCTGCAGTAAAATGAGAGGTTCTCTAAAGAGACTCTGGTGCTCAGAAACACTAAAACTTTAGTCCACAAGGACCGACAGAATTAACACTAAATAAAGTTCCTTGTATCAGCTTTAATTAAATTATTGATTCAATTAATTTGACAAATAGATTAGACACAACTCCTTTTTTGTAACCAAACACATATTTATAAAAAGATGAGCCCTTCCTAATATTTCTGTAACACCAGTTTTATGATGTTTGTTTTTGCTTTCCTCTCACCAGATGGATGAGGTGCACATGTGCTCATGTGTACCATCTCTGCTGAGGATTAAAGGGGTCTGTCCCCCCCCCCCCAGGGGAGATCAATTACATAAGGTTTGGGTAGAAGGTAGCAGCCGGAGTTTAGATCATCTGAGAGAGCGGTAAAGTGAGGGGTGACTATGTTGGGGCCTCGGCCCTCTACATCTTAGTGAAGGTTGGCAGCGGTGTGGCTTCATGCAGAGAGCACGTCAGTCTGCTCTGTGCTGCCTCTCTTATAATATTATGTTCTCAGATCATGTACGCTACGAGGCGACGGCGTGACGAACTTGCTTTTATCTTTTCTCTCTGATCATGTTCTGCATATTTTGTTTAGCTTCTCATCTGTCAAGTTCCAGAGAGTTTATGAAGCGGCGATATTTCTTCACACCAAATGATGATGTCAGGGAACTTCTAATTGTACAAATTACATTTCTTCAAATATTTAGCTTTGTGTTATTCGTGGAATATTGCATTTATGTGCTCGAGATGACTCAAGTTTAGGTTTTAGAAATATGAAACCAAAAATGACATGACATTATGTTGTAAAAGAAGATAAAAGTGAGTCTGTATCTATTATGAGCACCTCTCTTTCTTATCTTTTTATGGTAAAACATTGCCCGACAAAATCATTGAACATTAAAATGATAAAAAAGAAAAATATTATGTTTTTTAAGAAGGTTTAGGAGCATTTGCTTAAATATAGGCTCTTAATCATTTGCTTTAATATTGCGACAGCCGGCTGAGATGTAGACCAGGTGAGTGAAGAGTTAATAGTAATCGGTAGCGATGTCTCCGTTTGTCTCTCCAGCAGAAGAAAAGCCGACCAACGAGGCCGTGGCTGAATATCTGGAGGGACGCAAGAAGTACGAAGAGCAGCGCAAACAAAAGCTGAAGAAAGGCTCAACCAGAGAACAACAGGTAGAAGAAGAACATACGCATCGTCTCAGGTTACGTTAACCTGTTGTACGGTTTGTATTAAATGATGTCTGATCTTTTTTCGATAGACGCTGGCCCTCCTCAACAATTTCAAGTCCAAGCTGTCTTCGGCCATCACTGAGGAGGCTCCAGAGGACGACGTGGAGGAGCTGGCAGAGGACGACGACAAAGGATGGTCAGTGAGCCTGATGACGTTACAGATGTATAACTGGATTTATTTGTATTACTACGTTTGTTTGGACATGGCCCATCGTTACATTAGCTTCAGTTGGGGTTCAGATGCTGGCTGTTGATGCTGCTATCGCTCTCGAGCTAATATTTGTCAAACCGAAGGCTTGACCTGCCTGGAAGTCGTGGAAATAATATTGCACCAGCAACTTACTCCACTCACTCCGCTGTCATTTTCAAACTAATTCTGGTCAATTTCTCCAAAACCAACCAAACCGAAAACAATCTAGACAATGCTCTGTTTTTCATCAATAACTCCTCAATTGGAAAAAGAATACAGCCAGATAAGACAAGTTGTCTTGATCCACATCAGAGTCCTGAGAGCTCCTGAGGAGTTCAAGGACCAGTTTGGCAAGTTGGGAGAAGTTTGAGTGTGACAACTTGGCACGAAAAGGCCTTTTTTTATTATTAGCTGCTTGTACTTGTGTTATTTCTATTGATACCCTCGTGGTGAACACTGGATTGTAGGAGATAGTAAAATAACATTATTATTATAATAGTAAGATCAGCCTAAATGAGACACTAAAATGGTCAAACACTGCAGAAAACCCTTCTTCGTATCAGGAATGATGAAGATCCAAAGCTTGCTTTGGGGGTTCTGATAAATGTGTGTGAAAGTTCAAGCTGTTCAAGTTGGGATTTCAACCCGCAGCCACCAGATTGTCCATCAGGAAATCAGCCCTGACGCTGTGTTTTCCTCTCGTATTCTGTTTTTCACCAAAGATCTCAAAGCCTCACTACACACAGAGAGAGTCGGGGATCTGAAATGAATACCATGTGTGTGTGAATGTGAGCAGAGTGTCTGAGTGAGAGATTTAGAATAACAAAATCTGTAGTTGCTATTAGTCTCCAGAAGCCCCCTTGAAGTGCAGTCTGTCTTGTGTTGAGTGGGGGGCCCTAATGAATTTGAGAGAAGCCTTGGAGCCTCTCCCGGCTGTAGACACCTCACTGTCGCCCCCGCCAGGTATGAGTGGGGGGGGGGGGGACAGCAGCAGTAGCAGTAGCATAGCAGTCCTAGAAAAACACCAGTGGGAAGTGTGTGCCACTCTGAGAGTGCTGCGAACAGAATGTGGGTTACAACAGGTCAGACATTGGAAGTCAAGTCTGGGCCAGAGGAGGTAAACTATTCCATCTGTGTCTGTGACTACAAACTCTCCCTCCTCCCCTCGGGCTCCACTAGAGCTGCTCTCGCCGTACCTCCTGTACTGTACTTTAATTCCCACCCTCTACTTCAGCATAAAAAGAAAAATACATTGAGGAAAAGGCTTCTGTGGCGTCGCATCGCTGCAGCAGCAGGTTTTGATGAGACCCCCTAAAAACCCCCGGGGTTTTCCCACCTCGGCGTCTCGGGAGCTGTGTGACCGTGAGGCCGTGACGGCCGGCGGGCTGTCATCGCCAAGACTGCTAGACGAATTATCAAGAGGCAGCAGGAGTCCTCGGGGGTTCTGCCGGAGTCTAGCCGGCACATTCTAGATGAGCTGTCACGACTCCTGCCGATTTCAAATGAAACACCGGAGAGAGTGCAGAGACACGCTAACGCACAGCCAGAGAACGGAGCAGACACACACCACACAACACATATATTATAAAATATACAATAGAGAATACACAGTTTTCTCTATTTAGTGAGACACACAATGTACACACCCAGACATATACAGCACACGGGTCATGTAAATATTTATTTTTTCCTCGAGGAGATAAGAAAGACCTGCTGCTCATCAACTTTAAAGGGACAGTTTAAAGATTGTGACGCTATGGCGGTGTTACTGTGATGTTGCTGCATGTTAGCTTAGCCTACGGACCTCGATAGAGATAAAGATGTCAGATGATCAGCAGTAAATGGAGACGGTTATAACTCAGCGTCCTGGTGGCCGAGTAGTCGAAGACATTAATTTTCTCTAGCACTTTTTCTGTCAGCTGCCCAAAAAAACACTTATCATAGCAACTTAGCATCTCTTATATTTTAAAAACGTCCGCTAAATGTATTCAATCAAGACCAAAGCCTCGGTTATACGACCGAACGGAGTCTTCATCTTCAGCAAAAAGATCGGATTACGCTAGAAAAGAAGTGGTTTGTGTGACATGATGTCCGGCCAGAAAAGACCCCCATTTTAAAGAGGCGGGAGATCGTTTAAGTACGTGGATTTAAAGGCGCACATTTTCCACGTAGTTGCACTCGGTTGTTCAAACCATGGCTCCTTTCTCAGCTCGGCACAGCAATCACGGCTGTGCTTTGAGCTACGTGCTAATATGCTCACAGTGACGATGCTAACATGCAAATGTTTACTTGGTTACTTAGTTTAGCGTGTTAGCATGCTTACATAGCACAAACCACAAAGTGCAGCTGAAGCTGATGGGAATGTCATTAGTTTTGCAGGTATTTGGACATTTTGACATCATGAAGTTATGAGGATTCATCCTCTGGGGTCCATGAATGTCTGTGAAAGATTCATCCAGTGCAAGTTGAGATATTTCAGATTGACGTTGGAGCCGTGCTGCTGCTAGCATGAGTAAAAAGGTTTTTATTTCCTGAACAGAGTCCAACATTTTTTGGTTATTTCTGATAAGTGATTCTCCACTCGGACATGAATGTAAGAGGAGCTGCTTCACAACATGGAAAGGTTGCGTGGCTCAGAATGGATCCTTCCATTGATTAGTCACCGCTGCTTTGTTGTCTAGATTTACTGATAGCATTCAAACAGCAGCTGAAGACATCGCGTAAGTGGGAGAAAATGTGTTTTATCTGTGACGTGCCTGACACTGATATCTCCTGCGAGGAATGTCCTGATTCTTTAATCTTTGGGGGAAGAGAAACTGACTGGGGAAATGAAAGACACATGAGCGTCTGTTCTCTGGGGACCGCGGCTTTCTTTCTGGATTTCTGAACCGCTAAGATGTCTCAAAAATACGAGCCATAATAGTCCACCTTTCACTTTGTACTGAGAGAACTCATTCAGATACCTGCTTCAAGCCCCTCTGTCAAAGACGGTGTTGATTCTACAAGTGTTTTTACTGCAATTAGAATACCAGTATCAAGGCTAGTTTATTAAATGTTCTTTACATAAAACATAAAAAGCATCACGACAAAGAGTAAAAGCAACACACCACGTGTTCACACCATACAATTTAGAAACTGTCAACGAGCCAAATAGAATACGATGGGTATAAAACATAAGAATAAAAGTTATTTGATAAAACAAAATAGTCTTCGGTCGTAACAGAAGTGAGGGTTGCAGCGGACCTGCAGTTTTCTGTGGGTTTGTTCGAGATGTATGCATGGATGGATTACTTTAAGGGCCAACTGGGCCCGGCCCAGGGACCCAAAGAGTCAGGGGCCCCCCTAGCCTTCACCTGCTGCAAGATGTCCCTCAAAGAGACACATACCGACCAGGAAGAGACTCAAATTTAACATTAACATAAAACTACTACAGCAAGACACAAAAAGACTACAAATGGACCAAAATAACTAAGAGACACAACATAACTTCAAAGAGACACAAAATGACCACAAAGTGAAACAAAACAACTACAAAGAAATGAAATAATAGAAATGTTTTTTCCCCATTTTTTGATAGTAATGTTGTAATAAAACCGCTCAAAGCAGAAAGAGACGAGCCTCTCGGTCAAAGCTCCACAGAGCGTTGATTTAGTGCATCCTCTGATCCTCTCTCCATCCGATTTAGGATGGGCCATGTTCTGCAGTTTGATGAGCAAACCAGAAAAGTCAAGGATGCCACCGTGCAGGACGAGGACACGTTTGAGATCTACGACCCACGAAACCCCGTCAACAAACGAAGGAGAGAGGAGAGCAAGAAGATCATGAAGGAGAAGAAGGCCAGGACGTTAGGTCCTGCCCAAGACATGTGACCGTAAAACTGGTCCAACGGCATCCTGAGTGTCCCCTTTTCCACCACTTCAAACCCCGTTTGGTTGAGCGGCCTGCTGGCCTCCAACATCTGGACTGATGCTGACCCATACGATCCCTTTAATCTGTGATGGAAAGGCTTCCTCGCCTGGAACAGCTGCAGCCGGACGACGTCCAGTTACTCATCGGGATTAAGACCGCGGTCATAGTCGCGACCAAGGTCACCGTTTGATTACATGTAATGTTTGTTTTGCCATTCTTCTTAAATGTGACCATTAAACTTCTAAATAAATAGCATTTGTAAACAGAGTTGACTCTGTTCTTTTATTTTAAATGAATGTACCAGAACACTGAGGTGTTTCTATTTTTTCTTTCCCATCAACATACGTGAAGGTGAGCAGAATATTATAAACAGCAGCTCTGAATACAATGCAGTCCAGTACAACACCACTATCCACAACCTTAATGCTAAAACGTGTACGTTAAAGTTACGAGGAACTTTTATTTAGTGTTGGTTCTGTCGGTCCCTGTGGACTAAAGTGGTAATGTTTCTGAGCACCAGAGTCCCTTTAGAAAACCTCTCATTTTACTGCAGCAGGGTCCGACATTTTGCCCCTCTCAGTCCTGGTTCTGGTTCTCCCGTGCCTCCCTTCCCTCCAGCGGGTCCAGCAATATGTCCTGGGTCTCCAGCAGCGTGGTGTCGGAGCTCTGCTCCTGGAGGAGGAGGAGACGCTGCTGCCGGGAGCGGAGCTCTCCTCCTCCCTCTGGAGCTCCGACTGCAGGTCTAAGGCAGCAGGTGAAGCCGGATCTGGGTCTGTCCACGTTGGACCGGTCTCTGCTGGAGGATCTGGGTCTGTCCACGGTGGACCGGTCTGAGCTGAAGGAGTTTCTGGTGAACCTGCATGAGTTCATCTGGTTTCACCAGAATCCGACCCGGTGGCTCCGATGACAAGCATTAAGAATAACTCTATAGAAATAGACCATCTTCTCTCTGATGGTCTCTTTACTGATGCAGGTCTGATAGAGGATCAGGACTAAACTGAGACTAGTTCAGGACCAGGTAAAAGCTCCTCACAGTAACTTTAATTAATTAATAGTAATACTAGTTTGTCTTGTGTTTCTGTTAAAGATGAAGGTACAGCCAGGAGACGCTTAGCTTAGCATAAAGACTGTAAACAGCTCGCCTGGCTGTCATCTCATACCAACACCTCTAAATCTCACTAACCGTCTCCTGATTGTATCTTCATATTTAACGGATATGAGAGTGGTATCTAACTATTCCTTTAATGCTGAGGAGGGTACCAGTGATGGCCTAACCGGCCTGTAGCATTTCATATATGTATCTGCCACACTGCTCAGGTCACCACTGGAGCAGTCGGCGCTTATAAAAAAGAAAAAGGAACTGTTTAAACCCAAAGACTTTACCTCACCGCGCTGGTTAAATGATATGCCACGGCCATGTGTGTGACCAGGAGCTGCATTCGGCTGGCACACGATTCTTTACTGCCCTTCTGGGATTATGCTTAAATTTTCAGATGGAACAGGAAGAGAGAGTTAATGTTACATTATGAGCCCGGCTCGGCCCGAGCCGCCGCAAATCTAAACCAGGTGATGCAGTGATCTAACCGGCTGTGTGTGCTTCTGGGTCCAGGTCAGAGTGAGAGTGGAAGATGCACAGAAATCCTCTGATGGATCAGATAAATTAGCTTTTTTTGCCTTTTTAAATGAGCCATTTATGATTAGAGAAGAGGCAATTCCTCTCCAGCAGCCACCAGGTGAATATTTAACTCTCGGAGCAGGAAACACCGCTCTGTGCTGCTGATCACGTGACTACGGGATGAGATGGAACAGTAATAGCATTATCAAGCTATTCTACAAGCACTCGTGAGTAAGGGCTAAATATAGCCAGATAATCCTCCTCATCTCTTAGAAATTCAACCAACACTTCCTTTATGACGGGGGATTCCTTTCTCCTCTCTTTGTTTCCATATGTCCTCTTGTTGTTGTGTAGTTGCATTAAATCTTTAGCTCTTCCTTTGCACATTGCATCACTTTAAGCGGCCCCCTTGGCTGCCGTAACTCAAGTGTTGGATCAGAATCAGAACCGTTTATTGCCATGGTATGTTGAACATACAAGGAATTTGACATGACGGCTGTGTGAGATGTGTGAGATAGCCCACAGGTCTGACCCCTGAGCTGTGTGGCCGTGAGTCCTCACCCTCCACGGACAATTCCCCCGGGTGCGATGGACCGAATATGCAGAAGAAGAAGAAAAAGAGAGCTCGTGGATATTGATGAGTTTGCGAGATCAAAGAGAGAAGATGGTTTGGACAGGCGCTGCACATTTTCATGGTTGATGGTTGGTCAAATTCCCATTTTGTTTCCCTGCTGAGCTGCAGTGATTGGATAGTAACACCAAGAAGACATTAACTACTAAATATCAAGATGGAAGATATCCTAATAATCACTCACAAGTACTACATTGTTTGGTTTAGGTACCAGTAAGTCATGAAATACAATCCAGGATGTCTATTGGGTTTGATTTTGTGTCAAATAAAATACATTTTTGATTTTAAAATCGAATCATAATTTGATTGCAAATCCAACAGTTTTGTTTGTGATCCCAAAATGTTTGTTTGCTAATCCTGAAGTTTAGTTTGTGAATACAAAAGAAACAGAAGACACAGAAATAACCCACAGAAGTCCAGTTTGAGTAACAGATCTGTGTGTTTGAAGGCTGATCAGAAGCCAAATCTCTGCACAGTGGTTTATAATGGTATGAGACAGGATTTAACAACTGTGGAAAGCTAACACAGCGTATTATTATTTTATCTTTTGTTGACGATTGAGAGGTAAACCATTGGAATACTGCCTTCATGTTACAAGAGCAAAACATGGAGAAAGTTAAGAAGAGATCTCTTCACAGCCAGTTCGGACAGGAGGAAGACTTGCAGTCACCAGAAGCTCTTTAAATGTACATATGGACATGTAGGTATTGTTTTAAGACTCGGAAAAATGTGAAGCTATCCTTTAAACTGAGCTGAATCAGGGCCCCCTTCTCCTTTAATATGCTTCACTTGGATAAATGTCCTTATGTCACTGATCATATTTAAGAGCTATTATAAAAGCTTATTTTTCTTACATGACACCACTTCTTCTTTTTCTCTTCTCTCACATTATACTGCACAGCTATATTAGCATGCACACTTGGAAGAACATACTAAAAAATAAGTAGAGCAATGCACGCTCTCCTGCTGCTCTTATGTTCTGCAGATCATAGTGAAGGCTACTCGAACACACCGTGAAGAGGAGATGTCGGTGCAGAGGTGAGCCAGAGAGATGCCAGAAGAAGAAGAAGAAGAAGAAGAAAATGGTGCAGAGCTCTGGACATTAACAATAGCATATTCATTCCTCTACGTCTTCCAAGCATGAGGTCCAAGCCAGGCCTGCCCGTGAAAGTTCCAATACCACAGCAGTTGGACAGACTGATCGGGAATGAATGCTATTTCTCTTCACACAGAAGGAAACTAGTGTAAACAACAAATTAAGCCCAGGACTACAACTAAGTACAAGGTTAAACTCAAAAAAAGCAAACCTCAGAAATACTTCCACCTCAAGCTGAAAGAATATTTAGCATTGAGTTACATGGAAGGCCGTTGTTATCCAACTCCTGGTTGAAATGTTTCCATTTATGGTCGAGTCCATATCGTAAGAGATTATTAGTATAATATTGAGTTTTGGTGAGATATAATGTGGTTTGGATTAAATGTGGATGACAATGCCAACCAGTCACATAATCTGTGCAGTAATATTAATATTATAATGTTTTATTATTAAATTTGGTCATTATGGTTTTATCAATGATGGCTTTAGGCCGTGAGGCTCGGTCGCTCCACCAACAACCATTGGATGGATTGTCATAAAATTTGGTACAAATATTCATGACTCCCAGAGAATAAATCCTAATAACTTTGGTAATCCTCTGACTGTTAATCTGACACCACTAGCAATTCAAATCTTTTCAATTTATCCAGTGAAATGTCTACTGTGCATCTTTAAAAATGGATTGCCACAAAAGTTTGTACAGACATTCATTGTTCCCAGAGGATGGACCCTAATTACTTCCATGTCTCCTCTCCTAGTTCTTTCTTTTACAGTTTTATTAAATGCTATTTAATAAATAGCCAGTAATGGCAGTTAACCAACCCTGACTTTTGTGGCCTCTTCATTGAAGTCGTTGTGCCTCAATTCAACTGTTAATTCCAGATATTTACCACTCCTAAAAGTTACATTAGTAAATACTTAACACAAGGCATGGGACAAAATTTAAATTTCATGTCGCGATTCTCGATATTATTTCTATCATCATCAAAATATGCTTCTTAAAACATACTGACTTAGTCCTTTACATGAGTTACTTCCACTGCTTGTTGGGGCAAAGTACTAGCTAAAGGTTGAGTCCTACCACGAACCAGGTGTGTCAATCACTGTCTTTATCGTTTGAAGTGTAAATTGATCTCGTAGTTGTCCTACCTGATTTGTCCTCCGGGTGGCCCGCCATCTTTGTTCTCCAACTTCCGGTGTGATCCTCACAATAAAACCTTGGTTGTACAGCAGTAAAATACACACAAAATATGTTTCAGTCTTACATATTTTGTAATAGCTACTGGCAATTTCGGCACCACATTTAGCTTGAAAACCAAGGTAATAGCATGCTAATGGGGGAGAACACTCCGGTGACTCACCGGATCTTTGTTTAAAACTCAACCGGAAGTAGAATCCAGCAACGACCAAATCCTCCAATGTGGAAAAAACAAAACTTAGTTGCTTCTTTACACTTATTTTCTCTCTCTTCTCACTCATTTCAACGTATCTGTTGCTAGTTTCTATTAGGTTTCTATTTATATTCTCTTTCTATTTTTCCTCTTACTCTCCAGTATGCGGCGCTACAGCTGAACTGATTGGCTGTTACCACAACACGTATTAAAGGGACAGTACACAAATGAAAATAGCTAAATCAACAATGTAAACTATCACTGTTATCAAGTTAAAGTTACTGTGAGGGACTTTTAACTGGTTATGAAACAGTCTCAGTTTAACCCTGATGCTTTTATATGAACTACATAACTAAACAAGACAGTCAGCAAGAAAATTGGCTATTTTTATATATAGTTAGTGCTCGTTATCGGTGCCACCGGGTCGGATTCAGCACTAAATCAGATGAAATCATCACCAGAAGCTCCTTCAGCTCAGACTCCAGCAGAGACCGGTCCACCGTGGACAGACCCAGATCCGACTTAGCTACCG